AACAATTGTCAACAAGGCCATTTAAAGCAACACAATAATCTTTTCCCAAATCTACTATGTTCTTATTGTTATTTATGTCTTTTAGACAAAATGGCGTAGACATTGCAAACTTTAAACATTTAAAAATGTTGTTGTTGTTCATCTTAGGCAAAGTCTTTCTCATTTCTTGGGCGAGTCCTTACTAAAGAATAGATGCTAAAATGCATGCCACAAGGAGCCAAAAACCAAGTCTTTTAAGGATGCAAATTCCATGATAAATTGTTTTTGTGTTATGAAATGTTCTTGATTGTTAGAATGAAAGTTGGATGAAATTTTATAGTGTTTTTCAAGGAAGAATTTTGTGTGTAGAGATTTTTAGTATAATAGCAACAAAAATCTTGAGGAAATGACAACAAAAATCCTTAGACATATGAACAAATGACAACAAATATCCAAAATTGATTTCCATGGCAATAAATTTCCTTGGACATATTAAAAATAGGCAACCAACTTTATTCCATCTAATTTTGTCCAAGTCAATAGCAACAAGTTAACTTTAATTGTTTTTCAAGTTTTGACACTAAAAAGTAAGTTGAAAAACAATGAGTGGGCCAACCTTTTACTTTTTATTTAGTAAAAAAAATTAAATTTTAATTACAAAAATTTATCAAACTTTGTAAAATTTCTTGGAAAGGCGGTAAAGCATAGAACAAAATCAATTGTGCTATTCTATGTAATCTGTAGAGTATAGTGGGACAATCACAACAATATTTTATGGGGAACTAGGATATACAACCACACCAAATGAAGCTAGTGAAATCATGGTACGAGAGAGAAACTTGAATTGAAATAGTAGCAAAATCCTTTATAGAATCTTATAATCATTTTTCAATATTTTGTGTATAGAGAGTTCACCATTCAGGGTTCAAACACTATTTAATATATACTTTGAATGCTATTTAAATTCTTAAATGCAACAATTAACATATCAAAACATTTCAAAATTGTATTTAAACTCTCAAAATTTATGGTTACAATTGTGTTCTTTCGATTGGTCTTGTAACCCTTTTAGTTTGCTATAATAACTAAGCTAAAATCCAAGACTTTTTGAATCAAAACCACAAATCTTAAACCAATGTTCTAAATTGAGGAAACCAATGAGGAGATTGGATTAAGGTTGACTTTTGAGGTGACAGATGAGGCTGAAGTTCATTGAAAAAGGATACTATTTAATTTGTTAAGTTTTCTATGGATTTGTCATTATTGATACTTACCTTTCTTTTGGTCTTCTAAGCCAAGTAATTGATAAGATCTACAGTCTATCAACAAACAAGCGAGACTGAGGAGAATAAAGTTATAGAGATTCCAACCAAGGAGGATGGAGATGAAATTTTAGCTAATAAAATTATTTTTTAGAAACTAAAGAAAAAGATGGTCAAATACTTAATTGCATTGTACATTCATGCACAAACTTACGATATGTTGATAAATCAAATTCTAGTGGACAATAGTGCTATTGTCAATGTGATGCCAACTTGCATGGTATACTTGCTGGTATATCATTGTATGATTTAATGGAAATTGATATGATAATTAGTAATTTCAATGATGGTGTAAATTGCTCAAGAGGAATTCTCTTAATAGAACTCACTACAAGAAATATAACTCTCATATGTACACTCTTTGTTGTTGACAAAATTACCAATTATAATGCATTACTTGAGAGAGATTAGATACATAGCAGCTGATGTCCTATCTACATTACACCAAAATTTGATTTTATTTTTGGAATGGTGATATAATTGAAGTGTTGACAACAGATGACAAATCTTCTGTGGCTACCACAAATGAGGTAAAGGCATGCTATTATGATGAGGGTATTGGGAATCATTTTAGAATTGCTATTTGTACTAGGCCAACCAATACTAAACATAGAGAGAAAGAGGTCTATAACAAGCTCCTTTTGCATTTAGTACTTATTCCTATTAGGCCAAATGGAGTACCTAAAATTGAAGAGATCCCATGAAGATTGATCTTATCTACATATTTTGTGGAGAACTGTGCTAGTGCTGGTAGATTTGAGGTGGTATGCGAAGATGAGAATGAAGATTTACAAGTTTAGATAATTTTGGAAGAGTTAGATCTAGCACAAGCAAAACTTGATGAAGCAAAACTTAATGATCTTAAGGCAAAAGTTCAAGATCCACTGTAGCAGATTAATTTAGGTGGCAGGGCAAATTCTAAGGTTATATAAATCAACAACTTCCTTGAGCCAAGTTTGTGTGGTAAAATTCTTACCATTTAACTTGAGCTTAAAGATTTTTCTGTTTAAGATTCCTATGAAATCAGCTTAATTCAATTTTTAGTCTATTAACTATCAGCTTGATTTCATTTTAGTCTAAAAAGTTTAGTTTCTTTCCAAATGATCTATAAACTTTGGAAATATTTCAAAATAGTCTACCAGTACAAAATTTTGTTAGATTTAACTAAAAGAATAGTTCTTTAAGTTTTGAAAAAGTGACATTATAATCTTAATAAAATATGATGACTCAAGACATATTTTATAGAGATAGATTAGTTAAAATTTGTAATAAACATGAGCAACTAGTCTGTTTTACATGACAGATTGTATGTAGTTTATCCTAAAAAATTATTTAAATGTTCTTAAAAAATTATTTAAATGTTTCTAAAAAATAATATAAAAACAAAATTAAGGGCATTTAAATAATTTTACAGGACAGACTGCATACAGTCTACTCTGTAAAACAGTTTTCTGAAGAACACATTTAGCCAGATAAGATTAAAAACTATTTTTACGTTGAATATAAATTTAAGGACTAAAAGATCAAAAGAAATATAGTTAGAGGATTAAATATTTTGTTAAAGAATAAGAAGATTCCGTTAAAGATAACAGATATTTCCGTTAAATACAACAGACTAGATGAAATTGAAATAAATGTGAAAGTTAATAGACAGGATTGAAAGAATTCAAAGATAATAGATGAAACTGAAAAGAATATAAAAGTTGATAGATAATTTGTTAAATTAACCCTATGAAATCTAAAGTTTGATTATGAGATGATGAAGGGAGACTGCTGATTAAAGAATACTATAAAAGTCACTTTGAAAGTCAACAAAGAAATAGAGGGACTATTGAAGGCTAGTTTTATCAAAACTTCTAAGTATGCAGGGTGGCTATCTAGCTTAGTCTGAGTTCTAAGGAAGATAGGTGGGCTACAAGTCTGTTTGGCTTTTCAAAATTTGAACTTAGCCATACCAAAAGTTGAGTATCCCCCGCCCATTGTAAATATGTTGTGGATGGTACAACATGACATAAAATTCTGTTGTTCATGGATGGCATAGCAGGTACAATCAGATCTTCATAGTTGAAGTAAACATTTCAAAGTCTGCCTTTCGTTTCTTGACAGCCATTGCTACTCATGAATTGGTGGTAATATCATTTGGCCTAAAGAATGCAAAAGCAATGTACTACATAGTTGTGAATGCCACTTTTCATGATATGATTAGGGAGCTTCATGGAATATGGGCATATTAAAAATAGACATACCTTAAGTATTTCCTAATGGTTTTAGACAATTTAGTAAACTCAACACAAATAGATTGGCACTACCCAATCTTCAAATATCTCAACAACTCGCAATTTGAAGTCTTGAGGATGACAACAATGCAAGCCTTAAATTATGTTTTATTAGAGAATGAGCTATATAAATGGGGAGGCATGATGAACTCCGTTGGTGCTGCCTAGGTCCAAATGAGTACACCAAGTCATGTTTGGCATGCATAATGGGATATGGGCGCACACAAAGCTAGAATCAAGATGTACTGACTTATTAGGAGACATAGTTTTTTTTGTCTAACAATTTTAAATAAACATATCAGTTATGATAAGATTTGTAAAGCTTGTCAAATCTATAGGTCATTACAAAAAGTTTCAATGTCAACACTTACTCATTTGTTAAACGCAAGCCATTCTGAGGATGGGCCAAATATCTAATTGCTAAAATCTATGCTATTTTTACAAAATCATGTGTGTTCATTACTATAGTTACTAAATATTTTACAAAATGGGTGGAAGCTAAGCATGTAAAGAAGGTAGAACAAATAGATATTATTATGTTCATCAAAAAGGATGCCATCCTTAGATTCAGTCTGGCAAAAACAATAGCGTTAAATTAAGGGATTTTTTTGTCAAAACACAAGTAGAGACATTTATAAAGGAGATGGAGTTTTTGCTTACATACTTAACCCCTTGTTATGCTAAAACAAGGGGTCAAGCCAAAGCTTCTAATAAAATTGTGATGAATTTACTTGGAAAAATTGTTGATGATAATCCAAGGCGTTGGCATGAGCTATTACCTAACACACTTTAGGCCCATAGAACTTTACAAAGGAATTTATTCAAGATAACTCCATTTTCTTTAACTTTTGAACATGATGCTATAATGGAAATAGAGTTATCCCCCAAATCATTGTGTATAATAATAAAATCTACTTGGTTTAAACCCTTTTTGATTCCCTCTACTTAAAAAAACCCTTTTCTAGTCCCTAAAGTTTAAAATTTGGCCCCTTTTTAGTTCCTCCATTAAATTTTTTGACAGGTGACAGTTAATTAATGGAATTTTGTGATGTGGAAAATCAACTATAATATCCCAAAAATTTTGAAATTTTAAACATATATGTGTATACATGAATATATTAGTAGAAGTGAATTTAAATTTAAGTTAGGAATTTATATAGAAGGAATTATTATTATTGGGCCTAATAGCTAAAATTTACAAACCTAAGGGGGGCATTAAAGGAGAAATCTGCTATTTAAGGGCTAAGGCTGATTTTTCCTTTTTCCTCAAACCCATTTCTATGAGATTTTCCCAACCCTTACTAGAATTTTTCCTCCCCAAGCCCAACCTGTGCCAGTAGCTTCTTCTCGTTAAAATAGGTAAGAACTTAGCTTTTTCTTCCTTCTCTTAACAAGATATAGATTAATAAGCTTATCATTCTCAAAATCATGAAAAATATTTTAGATCTGGGTTGCTACACCCTCCAATCCACTTATCTGTTTTGGGTTGCTGTCCATCACCATTTTCAACATTTTTTGGTAAGAAATCAACCAAATTACTCATCTTTTCCTTTATGATTTGGAGTGGGTTAACTCTAATCCATTAGGTTTTCAAATTTTAGAAATTTTCTGTAGCTTCCCCTTGATTTTGTCCATGATAAATGCCAACAGAAACTGATTTCCTTTACTAGCTAGAAATTCGGATTGCATGACCTTTTTGTAGTAATTTAATCATAACTCTTTGTGTAGATATTGGATTGAGTTGACTCTTGATTCTATAGAAAACTAAGAGATAGCCCTACAATTTTTATGTTGGACGTTTAACCAAATTCAGTTGTCTTCATGGTCAAAAATCTGCTGCAAATTTGGTCCCTGCCGGCGGACTACACGGGCAGCCCAACCTTCCGTTAGTATTTTGGCTATAACCCTCTTTGTGGATGTTGGATTAAGGTAATTCTTAAGGATATGGGACGCTAAGGCATAGGGCTACAATTTATTTGTTGAGCACTCAACCCAAATCAGTCAATTTCTGGGCACGAATTCTGTTGGAATTTGTAGAACGAAATTTGACCAGAACTTGACAGAATTTTGCTCTCTTCTTTGTTTTATTCCCACTTTATCTGCAACTACATTGCATCATAGTTTTAGTAGACCTTTAGCTGCTATTTTCTGCTCTAAACCCCTATGTTATTGCTTTACTTTGGTTGCCCTTTTTGCTACTTAAATGCTTGTCCCTCTTTGCCCAGTTCTAGCTTGTGTTCTACCTTCTTCTTCTTTGCTGTTGTCTTTTTCCTAGAAATCCCTATGGTTCAGGTCCTTTTCTAAGCATTTGGGGACTGCTTTAAATGGCAAAAATCCCCCACTTTGCTACCCAATATTTTTGCTACGTCTAGGATAGCTAAGAGCTCAATTTCTCACCATTTTCCACCTTATTTTGTCCAGAAAATCTATTTGGGATATCTACTATTCGTGTGTCTTTTTGGAGCTGTTTTAAGTATATTTTAAATATTTATTTAATGTGGTATAGGTCCAAAGTCACTTCAAACATGTTGACTTTTTGAATTTCCTTGCTTGTTGTATACCTACAATGCGAGGTAAGTAAAATTTTGGTAAATGCCCTTGGATTTGAAGGTAAAGGTTTTAAAGCATATTTTAAACTGTTTTTGAAGTGGTGGCAGGATTAAACCCATTTTACACAAAAACGAGCATGATTGGTTTAAAATGAAATTGTTATCATTTATTGATTTGAGCATGCCTACTCGGAGTTATTGAATTGTTCTGATAACCTAAAATTGATTTGTAAATTATGGATTTTTCTGTAACTCCTGCATGATTTTGTCTCCAATACAATCATGATTACTGACGCCCGCTAGTGGGAGTTTGCAAATGCTAGCACATGTCGACAGGTATACCTGTAGAACCGATTCATTCTATATTCCTACCAATGGGATAATACACTGGTTATTGTTGACACCTGCCAATGGGAATTTGGTAAACACTGGTCATGACTAATTGAGGAGACCACTACTGAGTTTTATTTTGCATTAATGGTTTATTATTGAGATATCTCTTCTAGTTTTTGTTTAAATTGTTTATCTGGCATGCTTTAACTTTAAGTAAGGGCTACCCATGTTTTTACTTACTGAGATATCTCATGATTTTTCCTTGTCCACCATTTCAGGCAGTGAGACCCAAGATGTGAGAAACCAAGGGCAGTGATGAACTAAAAGGCTAGCCACATATATTTGGACTTAGATTATTCTGTAATTAGGTTTGCTTGACAAATTAGTTTTAGATATAGATTTTGGGATTTAAACCATTCTTTTGTAAACTAGATTTTATTTTGAAATATTGATCTAAGTTTATGTGGACTATTAGGAATGAATTTAGCAAGTTTCGAGCCTTGTGCATTTATGGGATCCTCTCACAAGGGTATGGCGTATGTTTTGCCCTCAGATTTGGGTTTTGGGTTGTGACATCCACTTTGTAAAAAAAAAATGATGTGGATATATTTTTGAGTCCACATCAGCATTTCATATAAAAATATTAGTTTTTTTGGTAAAATAAATTTCTATTTCTTAATCTTTGAATTACAATATAGTTAACTTTAATTATTTATCAACCAACTTTAATTACTCATTTAGCTCTCATTAGATTAAATCATTTATGTTTAATTGGATTTAGAGAGCAAAAGAAAAGAAACAATTTCTTCTCTTGTTTGTTCTTCGAATAATCATTTGCAAATTTACAAATTCTCAATTCTAAAAAAATCATCTGCAATGAGTTCAACCCTAGATTTCTTATTGCATGTTCAAAATTTAAACACATAATTTTTTGAAATCACTAATATGATTTCTACTACAAATTACCACTTAATTTTCTCATTTTTCTCTTTCTAAGAAACCAAACAACAAAACAACTTCTAGTCAAGAAAACAAGGATGATGATGGATGTGGTGGCACAATCTATGTCTAATTAACATCTAAACAAGTAGGAAAACAAAACCACTTTCGATAGAAAAATTTGGGTTTCAATTCGGGATTACATGGCAACCTCTAAGGCGTGTGATAAGAACCCAAATTTGGGTTTCCTAGCTCAAGGCTCACACGACAACGATGAACCCAAATCTGGTTTGGATGGAGGTGGAAAGGAAGAGAGAAGAGAGGAAAAGAGAAAGAAATGAGTAAAAGACCCTGGGAGGGTATCAATGGTCTAGTAACAATTTTGTTAAAGTTGTAACCATCTAGTCCATGAATGGGTCAACGGTGACAATAGCAAGAGCTACTAATGGTGTAGGATTGTGAAAATTAGGGGTTGAGGGAAGAATGAGCCATTGGATTAGGGTTTTTTGAATTGCATTTGGATCTAAAAGAAAGAAGGGGTAGGAGAGGAAACCAAATCTGGAACGCATACAGACCCTTGATTCTACATCAAGATTGTGAACATGGCATAATTGCTTGCATCCTTATTGATCTGTTGATTGATGCCCCCACTAAAACCAATTTTCTCTTGCTCGAAAAGGGCATTGAAGGGGACATTATGTAATAGAAATGTGTTAACGACCACCTAAATTTTTTTTAAAATTCTATTTATATAATTATTATGAAAAATTAGGTGTTAAGAATCAAAAAGAAGGGAGTCATCACTCGTCTAAATTATAAAGTGAGACAAATCACCCAAAACATGGTCTGCACATAGATCAAGGTCCGGTGGTACTGTTAGAAGTGAAGAAGGGCATATGCGCATCTCATAATCCTTCGTGTAAAACATGATTGCATACTTTAATATTTTGGAATTTATTCAACTTTTATTGCTTTTGATTTTTAATTAACTAGACTTTAAAAAGTAAATCGATGAAATTGAAAAGCATGAAAACCTAGACTCAATTTTAACAAAACAAGAAACATGCATGCACAATTGAAACAAAATTTAAAAGTGGAGAGACTAATTTGATTAAATTCAAAATATTGAGGATTGATTTGAAAAGATTTAAAATTTATGGACTTAATTGCTTGATCTCAAAAAACTTTTGGACAAAATTATCATTAAAACATGGTTAAATACCCTTTTTGGTCCCTCTACTATAGGAAAAAGCCCTTTTTTGGTCCCTGTACCGAAAAAATCCCTTTTTTGGTCCTTATTGTTCACAAATCCGACTCCTTTTTAGTCCTTTCGTTAAATTTTGGATGATGTGGCATGTTAATTAACGAAAAAACTCATTTTTTTTTATTAAATTACTTTTAATTACTGATTTGCCCTCAAAGATTGATGACATGGTAAAATTTTTTCCTTTAATTACTAATTTACCCTCTTCTTTCTTCCCCATCCTCTCCTTCCTCCGGCCTTTTCTTTTTTTTCTTTTTCTCCTTTTACCTCTAGGGAACCCAAGAGTCTGGGTTCACGAGGAACCCAGCTCGCGGGTTCGCACCTAGGAGCTTGGGTTCCTTGTGAACCCAGCTCGTGGGTTCACGAGGTGCGAACCCACGGCCTGGGTTCGCGAGGAACCCAGCTCGCGGGTTCGTGCCCATGAGCCTGAGTTCCTCGCAAACCCACGGCCTGGGTTCGCGAGGTGTGAACCCACGGCCTGGGTTCATGAGGAACCCAGCTCGCGGGTTCGTACCCATGAACCTGGGTTCCTCGCGAACCCAGCTCGTGGGTTCGCACCCAGGAGCCTTTTTCTCCTTCATATTAACACTGGTTGGTTCATTTTGTTTGTTTGTTATGGCTGCCTTTTAGGTTTTACGAACCCAAGCTCTTGGGTTTGCCTGGAGGTAAAAGAAAAAAAGGAAAAAAAAAAGGTTGGAGGAAGGAGAAACCGGGGAAAAAGGTGAGGGTATATCAGTAATTAAAAGTAACAAATTTAACATGTCATCGATTTTTGCCACGTGGATTTTCCACGTAATTTAATAAAAAAAAGAAATAAGTGTTTCCGTTAATTAACCTGCCATGTTAGCCAAAATTTAACGGAAGGACTAAAAAAGGGCCGGATCTGTGAATAGTAAGGACCAAAAAGGGGATTTTTTTGGTACAGGGACCAAAAAAGAGCTTTTTCCTATAGTAGAGGGACCAAAAAGGGTATTTAACCTTAAAACAAAGATGATTGAATTCTTTTATTTTTTTTAAGGCAATGACTCAAATTAAACATAATTAAGCTTGATTGATTAGGAATTAATTAAATAATTAATCAAATTAATTAACCTTTAATTAAAATAATTAGATAAATCTAAATATTCTAATGAAAGACAAGTAAATCAATTAATTATTTTAATTAAGATTAATTAAAAGCAAATTAACTTTCCTTTTTATACCAAATTAAATTTGCTTATATTTACATTTATTATTTTAATCAAGATTCCTTTTTTTTTTTTTTTTTTTTTTTT